CATCAATACCAAACCCTCACGCAGTACTGTTAGTACTACTAGTACTACCAGTACGACTAGTACTACTGGTACTACTAGTACTACTAGTACTACTAGTACTACTAGTACTACTAGTACTACTAGTACTACTAGTACTACCAGTACTGGTCGTACTAGTAGTACCAGTAGTACTAGCAGTACTAGTAGTACAAGTAGTACAAGTAGTACTGGTAGTACTAGCAGTACCAGGAGTGCGAGTAGTACTAGTAGTACTAGTAGTAAACGCTGGCGCGACAAGTTGTACTAGTAGTACCAAAAGTGCTAGTGGCAGCTCGCTGGCTTCCTTCCAGCTGTGTGCTCAGGAATGGGGCGATGATTTCGAAAGGCGCCATTTCGATGGGAACTTTGTCAGTTGCATGGTCAGATCCTCAGTTTGCAGAGTTTGGGTGGGATACGACTCTTCATATTCTCAGAAAGAGGTTGTAGGCTCTTGTTGATTCATCGCCTTCGCGGAACCTGACGCCAGAGTCGTGAGGCCAGTGGAACTTTGCTGTTCTGTTTGTAGGTTGGTGCTCCGATGAGGGCGGGCCAGGTCATGAACGACTGGGGTCGGCTGCCGAGGGCTTGCCAATCAGTTTGTTGACGCATGTCACACGGATCCAGTGATTGAGCAATACGTGTCAATATTGTGTCTGCAAGCCTGCAGTTGTCGGAGGTGTTTTGGCTTTTCAAAGCTCCCTTCATCAGAAGAGCCCAATGTCAAATCAAATCGCCCCCAAGTTGATTTCTGTAGCAGCACTGTATCTCCCTCTACTTCGTTACTCGAGTGGGGCAGATGGAGTGCATGATGTGGACGTGACGATGGCCAAAAATGGCTTTAGCCTTGGCCACGAAGGTCTGCTTGCTGACACAGCAGAGCTCTGGCACGGCAGGTAACTCTTTCTTGCTTCGTTTGCCTCCGTCCATGTCATGTGCTATGTTTTTGCCGTTTGGCAGCAAGTCGTTTGAACTGTATTCAAACTGTATTGTCTCTTGACCGAGGAGAGGTACTGGCACGAGAAAGTCTCCAAAGCAAAGGCAAAGGCGAAGACGAAGCGTAAAGTGCGGGCCTCGTCGGACGCACGACCGTGCTCCAGCAAGACGACACATTCCTCATCAATCAGGCAACCCAGTGTCGGGTAAGACAGCCTGTGCAGTGCAGTAGTACAGTTCCGGTCCTGTGCAGATCAGTTGTGACCCCTGTGCCACTGATCATTGATGTGCTGCGCAGCATCATTTGCCAAGAGTCGAAGATTCTGTAATCGCGACCACTTGTTGCAGCCATAACAACATAGGTGTATCATCGCACGCACGAGCTTGGTGTTCGTCTTAGCTCTTTGATAGCAGAGCGTATGAAGTGGAAGCTGAGAAGGTTGTCAAGCGTCATGGCCGTGCTGGCAGCTTGGGATGAGTTGTCGAGCGGAGTGAGGCGGTACAAGTACCTTCCTCGAAATTTCGCAGGACCATGCGCAAGAGATCAAGCTGAGACACAAAGCACACAAGCACAAGCACTTCGCGAGATGACGGCTGATTCCACCGCCCAATCCATCACCTTAGTGGATATTGGAGCAAATTTGTTGGACCCCATGTTCCAGGGCGTTTACCGCGACAAGGTTCGCCACTCACCAGACTTTTCTGCGGTTCTGTGCAGGGCTCAAGAGGCTGGGGTGACCCGCATCATCGTCACGGCGGGCAGCTTGCAGGAAAGCCATGATGCATTGGAGCTTTGCCGGAAAAGCGTGAGCGAAGCCGGTTGGCCCAGTCTTTGCTGCACGGTTGGGGTGCACCCGACTCGTTGCTCTGAGTTTGAGACAGACCCGGAAGCTCATCTTCGCGCACTCATAGATGTCGCGCGTACTGCAGCTCCTTTCTGCTGTGCAGTAGGTGAATGTGGATTAGACTATGACCGCTTGGAATTCTGTGGACGCGACGTGCAGTTAAAGTTTTTTGAGCAGCAGCTCTTGGAGTTGGCGATTCCCCTGCAAAAGCCTCTTTTCTTGCACTGCCGCAGCAGCGAGGCAGCCGAGGATTTGGTGAGAATTCTGCAGAAATATAAGCAGGCACTACCAAAACGACCAGGTGTTGTGCACAGCTTCGATGGCAGCTTGGAAGAGGCGAGAAGATTTATATCGATGGGTTTCTTCATAGGTATCAACGGCTGCTCATTGAAAACGCAAGACAACTTGGCTGTCGTACAGGCCTTGCCACAAAATCGCATTTTGTTGGAAACGGACGCGCCTTGGTGCGGTATCAAGCCATCTCATGCCGGATATGGGTATGTTCGAAGCTCGTGGGAGGAGGTGAAGAAGCCTGAGCGTTGGGAAGAAGGTAAGTGTGTAAAGGACAGGTGTGAACCGTGCCAGATGAGGCAAGTCTTAGAGGTTGTGGCTGGCTGCCGTGGAGTGTCACCAGAAGAACTGGCCAAGGCTGTCCTAGAGAATACTGATCAGTTCATGAGTTCCATGGTTGAGTCAGTTGAGTAAACCGCCTTCCGACGCTAGCTGACAACGAAAGAACAAGGGATAGATCGCCCTTCGGATCGCCTGCGGCCAGAATGGCAAGGCTTGTTGCAGTTGTGCTTGAAGCTTCAGGTCGAAGCACCGCCGACTGGGTGCGGGCAATCCGTGCATCACAGCAAAGTGCGGCAAGTAACAAGCTGCGAAGGCACGACCAGTTTCTTTACGTTTGCAAAGAAAGGTGTCAGACAAACTTTAGCAAGCCAGATCAAGGCTTGCGATCGGAAGAGCTGGACGAGGACCGGAATCAGCTCTGCACATTCTGCGCTTCTTCAAAGAAATTAGGCGGAGCAAGAGCTGCTCGGTCCAGCCACTCACGAAAAGCCGGGGACTCAGACACGGTTCAAGCTTGGTGGGCCTTGCACCTGAATCCTTATCAAGCTCCGAGAAGACACCTCAAAACTCAATTCTCATCAACCCACCATATAGCCTAGAGACCACCCATAACCCGGTAATCACATCTCATGCCCTCAACTGCTTAAGCCTTACGCTTGAAGCTTGAAGTTGCAGTGGCAGACTGTCCATGAGCTTTCGCAGAACATACTACATTGCGACCTTCGTTGTGTTCACTTCTCGTTGGCCGACTGAGTTGCCAATGCTTCGTAGAAGACTCGACCTCGCTATTCAACGCGTGTCAACAAAACTTGAGCTCGCTCGTGTTATCAGAGTTGGAGCCAGTGCAGAGTACTGAGCCGACGGATGTCAACGAATCAATATGCATCCTCAGGTAGCGCAGATCTGCATCAGAGTTGGAAACATGCAAGCTCGTGAGCTTGACCAACTAGCCCGGTGCAAGGCTTTCCTCGGTGACAGCGCGAAACTCGCGGCGGCTTGGTGGCGAGACGGTAGTGTTGTCGTTGGACCTCCATGCTGGGGTATCAAGCTCCACAAGTCGTTGGAATGTCCGTAGTGTCCTTTCGTGAGAGATGGATGTGCAGAAGGCGGAACCACGTGGACGAGGTCGACGAATCAAGATGGAAGCTTGCAACAAGGAGCCAAACAAAGCCTGTCATGGAACCAATCCGGGTTTCTGACTAGCCGTGCAAGTCCGAGCGCTGTGGTGCCTTGTCAAGTCTTTCAGTCCACCGCCCTCTTCGAGCAAGGTCCAGCCCGACATTCTGCATCCGGTTTGGGGTGCAGTTTGGGCACTTCGCCAAACTTCACGCTAGAAGCCTCGGCGGGGATGCAGGGTAGATGCTGCATTTGGCCCCGTGCACGATTGGACTGTTCATGCATTGCGATGTCTCCTGACAGAAACAACGAACGTGTCGGCAGGAAAGTGCCGTTCGAAAACGGGTCGTCGAATGTCGGCCTGCAAATAGACGGAACTTGCAAGTTGATAGAAGCATTGTTCATTAGACACCGCAGAAAGACATGACATCGGGCACAGGTCTGGATATTCGTGTTCCTATTCTGGCGATTTCACGGTGCATACCCTTGCCGAGTGTTGTTCACTTGGCGATTTGTGGGGGGTGCAGTGTACCCCGCCTGGCTGCTTCGCGTCGTGCGTATGCTCAAACCGTGGCGAACCAGAATTATCCGGTGGTCCACTTAAAACCCAATGGTGCAGCGGGCCTTGAAACAGCTGACTGGAAGGAGCACATGGCGAACCCATGCAAACCTTAAACCTAAACGTGAAAATTTAGACGCTTCGGCTGCAAGTGCATGTGTGCAAGTCATCCTGACCACACCGCCTGTCATGGCCAGGCTCCGTGTGTCAAACCAAACTGCCTGATGGACCATTCTGCTTGCTCAGGCCAGTCTCAGCCAGAGGAGCAGAAGACGATTTTCGTCACACGGTTCTCGGGTCCCGAACATGTTGACACACTTGTCAACTGGATCGAGGCAGCATCGAGATCCAAAAGTGTCTTCCCTTGTTCGCCGTCTCAACTGTAAACTGTAGGAACTGCCACCGGCCATTCTTGCGTCCTTGCAGACTTAGCTTCGCTTCGAGCTTGGATTCTGGGCGTTTCAAGTCTTGCTCCAAAATATTTCTCAGGTCCGACCTTTCGCAACGCTCTGCCCAAGAAGCAGCGTTGCCTTTGTGGGAAGGCTGTTTCTCGTGGAGACTTGCTTTTCTTTCAGTTTTTCGTGCTCAGATGGATCCTCTTGCCCACGGAGTTGCAAAGAAAAGTTTTATTCGGTCTGCACTCAAAATGCGGATGACAAAGAAGCTGGCGCCTCGGCTTGCCTGAATTGTCTCTTCCAGTGCTGCCATGTCGCAGCCGCCGTCAGGGTCGATTGTTTTCGACCACAACGCCCCTGCATCCAAGCAGTTTATGGAGCAGAGGGCTACGTATCAGTCAAGCAGTGCAGTCTGCCTTTTTTGGCCGCCGCGCGTGAAGTGCTCGGCACCCTTCAGTGGCAACTGGCTCAGGTGTTCGACCTTCTGGGCTCAAGACAGACCGAAGGAGCTAAGGACGTCTTAGCTTTGGCCGTGGTCATGATAGACCAACTCGTCGCCGATGCTGGGCCCGATCTTGGCTGGATTTTCTCCGTGCAAAAAGACCCCCCGGCGCCGGTGTTCTCCGCCCCGCAGCACAGCCCAGGCCTTCATCAGGACTTGTTCCCACATTGCGGACCCCAAGTGGGTAGCGTGTGAACGAGATGGAGACCCTGGCTGCACGACGCACCGAGGTGTCAAAGGGGCAGCGGCTCCTCCTGCTCCGGATGCGGGCCAGAGCACTACTCCGCAGCTTACACGGAAGCAGAAGCGAGCAAAGTTGTAGGTCGAGCGCAAAGCTTCCGCGGCCCAGCCGAAAGTTAGGTCCGCCTCCAAAGAAACCGCCCCCAAAGAAACCAGCAACTTCCCTCGGAGGCCTGCCACGCATGCATCAGCTGAGTTTGGAAAGGAGGCGCAATATTTTCGTGCTAGGCCTGAGCCTGCCGCCAGGCCGGGGTTGGAGGATGCCTTTGCTGGTTGCCTTAAGCCTTCTGGGACCCTAGGCTGTACCGTAGTTTCAGGCTCCGAAGCCCCTCCTCTGGACCTACAGCACGTGCAGCACGACCGCGATGATGCGGCGAAGTCCCTCTACCGAGACTGTCTTCCGGTTCGTCTCCTTGCGCTACTGTGTGCCCGCCTGGCACTAATCCCTCACACCCACTAGTAGTGCCGGATGCTCCCTTTTGGTGGAGTTCCCGGTTTTTGCTCGGAATTTGACTTTTGGACCTGGGCCTCAATTTTGTAGGTTGATTCTGCCTACCCGGACCGCATACGCTCGGTTCCTGAGGTCTTCTTTCTCCATCTATGAAAGCGGCCTTCCGGCTCCTGATACCGCCGTCTATCCTCTGCCTATCCCCGATCTCAGTGTTTTCTCGGAAGGCAGCCCGCACTCGCGATCTCCAGGGCGAGCTCCTCCTCAGGGAGAGAAGGAAGCTCTCATCGCAAGCTGCACATTGTGGTGATGAGTTTGAACTTCCTTCATTCCGACTTGCGCCAGGTGCCTGAGAGTAGTTTGCGGAGGCAGCCCAATGTGACCCAGGTGAAAGTTTACGCCAGGCTCTGAGGGCTGCTTTGGGCGTGTAGCGACAGAGGATGGGATCCTCTGGCAGCCGTGGGCCTCATCTTGTCGCCAGGCTGAGAAAGCTTAACTCGCACCTTTCGGCTGTTGCCCTAGAGAGCGCGAGATGCAAGGCTTCGTGCCACATGTTGGGACGGCCCGGAGGCCCTCCGACCCTAGCGGGCGATGCTGATTTTCTTGGTCCTTAGCTAAAGGCTGCCCTACCTGGAACCTTGAGTGCTGCAGGGCATACCGCTGAACGACTTCCCCTTTCCTGATGCCTCCTCTGAAGACCCTTTGAAGACCGGAGAGCTGCTGAGGCTGTGGGATGCAAAGGGATTGTTTTTCCTTGCTTTCGAGCCCAAGCGAAGCGTTGCGGCCTACAAGAACGAGGCTGCCTCCTTCTCTTCTCTTCGATCCTGAGGCCCCTGTCTATGGAGCTTTCCGCTCTTTCTACCAAGGTGATCACTTGGGGGTTGAGTTCGCCACTGAGGCCTATGCCGAGCTTCTGCAGCGCTCCTCTCTGCTTTCTGATGAGCGCAGGCTCTTAGCTAAGAGGCCCCCGTCCAGGTGTGGTCCCTGGGAGGCTAGTAGTCATCGATGCTTACTTCGTCACCGCTGTCGAGAAGGAGTCCACCCCCCCTGCGCTAGCCGGTTTCTACGAGCCGTGTCCTCCGGGCTAAACGTTAAACGTGCATATGACGCAGCCCAGGTAAAGGGGGCGGAGCACAAAATCCACAAAGACTGCTGGGAAGATCAGGTTTAAGCGCCAAAGTGAGACGAAGGTCTGGACCACAGGCCTCTACTCACAAGGCCCCTTCTGCGGCCTTAGAAACACTGTGGAGCAGTTCCCCCTCACGACTCGCCTGGCCTGCAAGGTTGTGAGCGCCATCGATCCCTCCCTCTTCTTCTCTTCGGTCTCCCTGCTACAAGATTTGAAGTCGCAGGGCCATAAAGATAGAAACAACCTTCGAGGGTCGCCCAGCCTCGTCTTTGCACTGTCGAGTTTGGAGCATTTTGGAGCAAGGAGGCATCTTGGTCGAGGGCGGGAAAGGAGGGCTGGGTCGTTCTGCCTAAGACGGGTTCGCATAGGTCCGCCCTTGTAGCAGCCTTTTCGCAATGGACCTTGGAAGTGATTGGCCTCGACCTCCAGACGCTTCTGGATCGTAAGCCTTTTGACCCTGAGTTCGTCTCGGACACCCTAGTCAGGTATGGTCGGGACCTATGGCTCTAGACGGCCATACTGGCACTACTCCGAGACAGTCAATGCCGTCACTTCTTTGAAGCCGATCTTGAGGAGGCAGGTTCAAGCTGCATGGGACCTGGGTTTTGCTTGGGCTGCTGACGAACCCTACAGCCATCACACGGCCATCCCTCCAGGTGTGTTAATAGCAGTGCTTACAGCATGCCTTTTGTGGGGATGGACCAAGGAGGTTGGATGTTTCGCTGTAGCCTTCGGAGGAGCCA